CTTCAGGCGCTAGTTTCAAAATATCAAGGGATGATTGCCTAATTACTAAAATACACTGTATTTACGCTAAAAGTGCTCTATTTTTGCTGAAAACGCTAAATCATAGAGATAAGGCTAAGTATTTGTGACACTCATATCTTGCTGTGTGTTTATCCGTTTGGAGCGTATTATATCTTGTTGGAAGGATAAATCGGAGCTATAAATTTATTGTTCCAACTTCATTTACAAGGCATTAATTAAAAGTTACAGATTAACCATATATTCTCAAATGTTTCTGATTTCACTCCGAACTCGTGTAGAATGTGATGCGATCATATCATGCTCTATTTTGTGCCGTTGAAAGCGTTTTATATATCGTTTAAAAGATCTTACCGATTTCTAAAACTTGTCTTCAGGCGCTGGTTTCAAAATATCAAGGGATGATTGCCTAATTACTAAAATACACTGTATTTACGCTAAAAGTGCTCTATTTTTGCTGAAAACGCTAAATCATAGAGATAAGGCTAAGTATTTGTGACACTCATATCTTGCTCTGTGTTTATCCGTTTGGATCGTAATATATCTCGTTGGAAAGATTGATCGGAGCTATAAATTTATTGTTCAAACTTCATTTACAATGCATTAATTAAAAGTTACATATCAACCATATATTCACAAATGTTTCTAATTTCACTCCGAACTCGTGTAGAATGTGAGGCGATCATATATTGCTCTATTTTGTGCCGTTGAAAGCGTTTAATATCTCGATGGAAAGATCTTACCGATTTCTAAAACTTGTCTTCAGGCGCTGGTTTGAAAATATCAAGGGATTATTTACTAATTATTAAAATACACTGTATTTACGCTAAAAGTGCTCTATTTTAGCTGAAAACGCTAAATCATAGAGATAAGGCTAAGTATTTGTGACAGTCATATCCTGCTGTGTGTTTATCCGTTTGGAGCGTATTATATCTCGTTGGAAAGATTGATCGGAGCTTTAAAGCTATTGTTCCAAATTCATTTACAATGCATTAATTAAAAGTTACAGATTAACCATGTATTCACAAATGTTTCTGATTTCACTCCGAACTCGTGTAGAATTTGATGCGATCATATCTTGCTCTATTTTGTGCCGTTGAAAGCGTTTAATATCTCGTTTGAAAGACCTTACCCAGTTCTCAAACTTGTCTTCAGGAGCTGGTTTCAAAATATCAAGGGATGATTTCCTAATTACTAAAATACACTGTATTTACGCTAAACGTGATCTATTTTCGCTGAAAGCGCTAAATCATAGAGATAAGGCTAAATATCTGTGACACTCGTATCCTGCTGTGTGTTTATCCGTTTTGGGCGTATTATATCTCTTTGGAAAGATAGATCGGAGCTCTAAAGCTATTGTTCCAACTTCATTTACAATGAATTAATTAAAAGTTACAGATTAACCATATATTCACAAATGTTTCTGATTTCCCTCCGAACTCGTGTAGAATTTGATGCGATCATATCTTCCTCTATTTTGTGCCGCTGAAAGCGTTTAATATCTCGTTGGAAAGATCTTACCGAGTTCTAGAACTTGTCTTCAGGCGATGGTTTACAAATATCAAGGGATGATTTTCTAATTACTAAAATGCACTGTATTTACGCTAAAAGTGCTCTATTTTTGGTGAAAACGCTAAATCATAGAGATAAGGCTAAGTATTTGTGTCACTCATATCTTGCTGTGTGTTTATCCGTTTGGATCGTATTATATCTCGTTGGGAAGATAGATCGGAGCTCTAAAGCTATTGTTCCAACTTCATTTACAATACATTAATTAGAAGTTACAGATTAACTATATATTCACAAATGTTTCTGATTTCACTCCGAACTCGTGTAGAATTTGAGGCTATGACATTCTTGCTCTATTTTGTGCCATTGAAAGCGTTTAATATCTCGTTGGAAAGATCTTACCGAGTTCTAAAACTTTTCTTCAGGCGCGGGTTTCAAAGTATCAAGGGATGATTGCGTAAGTACTGAAATACACTGTATTTACGGTAAAACTGCTCTATTTTCGCTGAAAACGCTAAATCATAGAGATAAGGCTAAGTATTTGTGACACTCATATCTTGCTGTGTGTTTATCCATTTGGAGCGTATTCACAAATGCAATCATTCTGATTTCACTCCGAACTCGTTTAGCATTTGATGTGATCATATCTTTCTCTAATTTGTGCCGTTGAAAGCGTTTAATATATCGTTGGAAATATCTTACCAGGTTCTAAAACTTGTCTTCAGGCGCTGGTTTCAAAATATCAAGGGATTATTGCCCAAATACTAAAATACACTGTATTTACGCTAAAAGTGCTCTATTTTAGCCGAAAACGCTAAATCATAGAGATAAGGCTAAGTATTTGTGACACTCATATCCTGCTGTGTGGTTATCCGTTTGGGGCGTATTATATCTAGTTGGAAAGATAGATAGGAACTCTAAAGATATTGTTCCAACTTCATTTACATTACATTAATTAAAAGTTATAGATTAACCATATATTCACAAATGTTTCTGATTTCACTCCGAACTCGTGTAGAATTTGATGCGATCATATCTTGCTCTATTTTGTGCCATTGAAAGCGTTTAATATCTCGTTGGAAAGATCTTACCGAGTTCTAAAACTTGTCTTCAGGCGCTGCTTTCAATTTGTTTGGATAAAGGGTAATTATATATATCATCCAAAAGAGTTTCTGTACAAGTAAGGCAAAAAAAATGGGGGACAAAAATGGGGCTATCCCAACATGGGATATACCATAAACCTGTGGGCTATACAATCAGTCCGAAATCACACAAAATAAAGCATGTAGCCGCACCCTATCAAATGTCAAAAAGTAATAAGCTCATGAGGGTAAATACTATAGAGGATCTTATCATCAAATCTGGTGGCATTTCGAACTCTCCATAACCAGTAGATAGTATAAATGAATGCAATTTTGACTTCCTTGGCCTTGATCCCCGTGCCTGCATGATCCTTCCTAATCCACTTGACTGAGCTTTCCAGGGTAGACATCTCTCTAGGCTTTCCAATCCATGCTCTTACTTTGCTCCAAACTGTGCCTGTAAATTGAAAACCAAAGAAAATGTGTGGCACTGTCTCCGGTTCACCCTTGCAAAATGGGCAAGTGTTAATCACATCAAGCCTACTAAGATTATCATACGTTGCAAGGCGGTTGCGGAAGGCAAGCCATGCAATGAATGAGAACTTAGGAGGTATGTGAGCTTTCCAAATAAAGGGCATCCACACCTGTTTGGTGCCCTTGACTCTAATCAAGTGATACACTTTTGAAGAGCACAATTTCCCATTTGTAACCATCTTAGAGAGGGCTGTTTTTGTGCTCTCAATGGAGTCATATTTTGAGACAAGGATGTCTCGGATCAGCCCCAACTTCTTAGTAAGCTGGGAGTCCCTAGTGTGTGGGGAAAATTCCTAAAATACTAAAATACAGGCGTTGCATTCAAAATATCAAGGGATGATTGCCTAATTACTAAAATAAACTGTATTTACACTAAAAGTGCTCTGTTTTCGCTGAAAACGCTAAATCATAGAGATAAGGCTAAGTATTTGTGACACTCATATCTTGCTGTGTGTTTATCCATTTGGAGCGTATTATATCTCGTTGGAAAGATAGATCGGAGCTCTAAAGCTATTTTTCCTACTTCATTAACAATGCATTAATTAAAAGTTACAGATTAACGATATACTCACAAATGTTTCTGATTTCGCTCCGAACTCGTGTAGAATTTGATGCGATCATATCTTGCTCTATTTTGTGCCGTTGAAAGCATTTAATATCTTGTTGGAAAGATCATAACGAGTTCTAAAACTTGTCGTCAGGCGCTGGTTTCAAAATATCAAGGGATGATTGCCTAAGTACTAAAATACACTGTATTTACGCTAAAAGTGCTCTATTTTCGCTGAAAACGCTAAATCATTTAGATAAGGCTAAGTATTTGTGACACTCATATCTTGCTGTGTGTTTATCCGTTTGGAACGTATTATATCTCGTTGGAAGGATAGATCGGAGCTCTAAATTTGTTGTTCCAACTTCATTTAGAATGCATTAACTAAAAGTTACATATTAACCATATATTCACAAATGTTTCTGATTTCACTCCGAACTCGTGTAAAATTTGATGCGAACATATCTTGCTCTATTTTTTGCCGTTGAAAGCGTTTAACATCTCGTTGGAACGATCTTACCTAGTTCTAAAACTTGTCTTCTGGCGCTGGTTTCAAAATATCAAGGGATGATTCCCTAATCACTAAAATACACTGTATTTACGCTAAAAGTGCTCTATTTTCGCTTAAAACGCTAAATCATCTTTCTATATACAAAACGAAGTGGGAAGCCAGCCACTTTTCCCGCCCAAACCATGTGCTCTCAACGGGGTCCACTTTCTATCCGATGTATTGCTTTAAGTTTTGTTTAAATGAAAGATTCTCTAATATTGATACATGCAACGGATCGCAGGTCTGGGGTCCACTTCATTTATTAAATTTGGTTGGCTTGAATTTTGCTGGAACCAATGAAAGATTCGACATTTGCTTTTAAGATTTTGTTGGGTCCGATGTATTGGTCAAACGAATCAGTTTAGAGCATTTAATGAAGATTTTGTTGGGGCCGCTGTATCTGATTTTGTTGGGTCCAATGTATTGCTTTAAGTTTTGTTTAAATGAAAGATTCTCTAATATTGATACAATGAACGGATCGTAGGTCTGGGGTCCACTTCATTTATTAAATTTGGTTGGCTTGAATTTTGCTGGAACCAATGAAAGATTCGACATTTGCTTTTAAGATTTTGTTGGGTCCGATGTATTGGTCAAACGAATCAGTTTAGAGCATTTAATTAAGTAGTTGGGGGTTGAGCAATTAATCTGGTAGTTGGGTGTTCAAACTTATACATATCATTTGCCTATAAAAGCTGACATACGGATGTTTTCAAACCCACACACCCTTCACTCCCTTCATTCACTCCTTCACTCAACATGGCAACAAACCCTAACGAAATTCCCAGAACATTGTACTCAATGATCAGGGACGTTGATCATACCAGATCAACATGGGCACTCAAAGTTCGAGTTGTGAGGGCCGTGGAAATGTCTGCCCAAACTAAAGGAGGTCCAAGAATGGAGGTTGTTTTCCATGACGAGGAGGTAAACTATGCTTTTGCGTTTTTTCCATTTATTTTCGTTGACATCAGATTTTATATTCATAAGCTTTTTTTTTTACTAATGTAGGGTGAAAAGATACATGCATTGATTAAGAGACCCCTTATGCACCTGTATAAATCGAGGATGCTGGAAAACCAATGTTTTAGGATAAAAAACTTTTTGGTGCTGGACAATTACTATACGTACAAAACTACATCGCACCCGTATATTCTGGAATTTATTAAAAAAACCTTAGTTTTCGACCACCCTTCAGAAAACTTTCCGAATTTCATGTATGATTTTCATCAGTTCGACATGCTGTAGAGCCTAAGGGTTGTGAACGATAAACTATTGATAGGTACCTTTTTAAATATAAATTTTTAGAGTGGCTGTTGGTACGATTATATATGACGAAATGTATAATAAACAAATGTATAACAAAACGTTATCCTATGTCAGATGTAATTGGAAAGATTGTTGGAAAAACACCTCCACAGACGCATGTGATAAATGGCAAGCCAGAGCGTCTCATAGAACTAACTTTGGAGGATCCCGAGTTAGTAAAAGTGCTTAACTAATTAATTTTAACTTATGGCTTTAGTTTTCAAAAGGATTTAACCTAATGATCTTATATAGGGGTAACCGTATACGAGGCACGCTATGGAACAACTACTGCAAAGAATTCTGTGACTTTTACGCAGAGCACAAAAATGAAGCAATTTACATAATTCTTCAAATGTGCAGACCAAAGCGTTACCAAGGTAGTCTATTTAATAATCAGATTTTAATAAGTCTATAAAAACATGTAATGTTTATTTATTTTTTAATGGCAATTCAGGATCGGTGTTGGTGTCTACTTCCTACGACATATCTAAGTTGATCATGAATGGAACGTCAACAGAGTTTGAGGACTTCAAGGCACAGTACGCACCAGATGAACACCATGTTAGATAAACTAACCACTAGAAATGCCCAGTCTCATTCTACTTATTAACTTGACAGATTTGGACCAGAAAATGAGGAGGTAGCTACAGTGACCACTTTCACTGGAAACAGCATAGGCCACGACATGGAAGAAGTACTGAGAGGAAATGCAAAAATCATACGGATAAGTGAATTCTTGGATGATGCAAAGGTACCTAAATCTTGCCTTAGACCAAACGCACAGCAAATATATTATTGTTGTCTAATATTTTGTCATTCTGTTGCCTAATGCAGGATGGCACCTATTGGATTTTGGGAGATATTGTTTCTATCGACAACTACAGAGAGTGGTGTTATCTAAGCTGCCCTACGTGCAACAAAAAACTCCAGCCCGAAGATGACAGGTTTAGGTGCAACAATTGCAACATATCTCTTCCAGGAGGAACCCTAAGGTATAAAGTTCCCGTCTGCATCATGGATGACTCCGGACATGCATCCTTTACCCTTTGGGACAAGGAATGCATTGAAGTGATCGGAAAAACAGCAGCTGCCATCAGAAAGGAAGTTGAAAAGGTACAACGACACATAATGTTTTCCCAAGTTGACTAGATATATTCATGAGACAGTTTAAAATGATTTTTTGAAAATGTTGCAGAAAACAGGAGATGCTCAACATTTTCCAGAGGATATCGAGGCACTGATAGACCAAAAGGGACTCTTCAAAGTCCAGGTCAAAACCAGAGCAGAAAGTTCATCCTATCAGGGACCTCTTTCTTATGGGGTTGTCGCCATGATCAGGGACCCTACGATTTTGGCGCTTTATGCTAACGCATCTGAACAAGCAAAAGGACCGGAAATTTTAAGTGAAGAGGAAAAAGTTTTAATATTTTGAATTTTTTTAAAATTTGGGACGCACTGCCTTGCTGATTTTATTCTATAATGACAGAGTGGTTTTGATGCTAATGATCACTTGGAGGAAGAAAATGACAGCGGTATAAGAAAAGGTCTTTCCATAGATAAGGTAACGGTGTCATTTGCATTGAAAAACAAGGTAGATGGTGACAAGTTGTACTAACCCTTGAATTATGTTTTTATAGGCAGTGGTGACAGAAGATGAGAATGCTTCTATGCCTATTCAAGTTCAAGCAGCCGAGATGGGATTGGAGAAGGTGATACTCAAAATTTTTCAGAGTGAAGTCACAGTTAAATAAAAAATTCAAACGACTAGCTTAACTTAATTCAGCCCATTTTTCAGGACAAGGATAGAGTGGTGGAGGAAGCCACTGCATCAGCAAAAGGGAAACGAGTTGTGATAGGAGGGAATGATGTAGTAAATAGGAACCTGCTTGATCAGTTTTCAGCAAACGTCAACACCAACAAGAGAAGGATCCGAGTCAAGCAGGAGAAGGCCTAAACAATGTGACCAGAGGAACCGGCTACCTAGAACTCTATTTTTCAGAAATCATTCTGCTACTAAAACTCTATTTTGCTAAACTTATTATTTGGGCCTGTAATATTAACTATATTTTGCTAAACTTCGTGCTACAACTGTAATTTTGCTAAACTTGGTGTTGAGACCTATAATGCTTAACCTTATGATTTGTTATAATTTTGAAAATGTTTTTGGTATTTGTTTGGTCGTGACTATGATGTGCAGGAAAGGATAATTCTTAGACGCAACTACATTTGGGCAATACATCACAGGAGAAGCCAAACGAGCAAAACTGAAAGAATGTGAAAGTGCAACCTCTACATGAAGCAGCAAATAGTGTCATTTGTAATATATGGCATGTTAAAGTGTAACATTCTGGACATGGAAAATTAGTTCAGTACTGAAATCATAGTCATACGATGACAATTTGTCTTAAATAAAAAAAAAATAGGATCACAAACGGGGTTATGTAAAACAGTATAGAATTTTAAATAATAAAATGATTTAACAAAAAATTTGTATCAAGTCTAGATTTGGTTGGCATATAAACACTTTTTGCTACTTCAATGTTTTGGTCATTTCTGATATCATGCAAATATGTACAGCAGTTCAAAAAGAGGAGATTAAGGGATACATACCTGGTGAAGATTTGTTGACCTGCAATCCTAAATCTAATATAACTATTACATACAAGGGCACCTAAATTAAGGCCCCAATTCCTACGAATTACATTCATCAAATACTATAAAACAAATTGATTCATCCTCAAAGCCATGCATTCAGTAATAAAAACAGAGTAAGAAAGAATGTTTGGGACATAAAATTATTGTGTACATAAAATTTAGGAAAACTTCAGAAGTTATAACAGGAGAGGACTTCTACGTATATTAAGGGAAATATGTACATTTTTTTAAAGACAGATGATTTTAAAAACCACAGTAGGTTCACAAAAAAAATGAATTTAAAAACCACAGTACATTTCTTGGTTCACAAAAAAACGTGTAGCAAAAATAGATTATCCTCATACATTAGAAGCAAAAAAACATAGTAAGTTATTATTTCAGGCATAAGTGTTATTTAACACATATAAAACTTCAGAAGTGCTAACAACAGTGGATTTGATTAAAAATAATAGATTTATTACTTTTAATAAGTTGAGTATATTCTGGGGATTATATAAAACCCAAAACAAATGTGTTCAAAATATGATTTACTTTAAGTAGTTGATTTACTTTAAAATAAATACTTAATGTGTGCTCAAAATAAATCATACTTTATTATTCAGTAGAGTGAATATGGTTTACCAGAATGTATAAGAGAATCTATCTAGATTAGTTGAAAAACATAGAGGGAACATTGGTTCAATTTATCAAAACTGATCTGAGATAAAGTCATGTCCGATTTACTTTATATCACTCTAAATTACCGAAGTCATTTTACTTGCACTCAATATTAATTGAAAGTATAAAAGAACCTGAATTGATGTTTTTACCATAAAATATCGTAATATTTTGAGCACATTTGATATTGGCCTATTATTGTGTTATATTGAATATACATTTATATGTATATGTATAACACGCAGGCCGTAGAAAAAAACTTTAAATATATAGAATTATATATATATATATATCAATTAAAATAAGTTTAAATGATAATGCATATAATAATATAATAAATTATATCAGTAGAAATTTTCAATGTAGGAGTTCTGATGAATATACGAAAATTTAAAAAAGACCAGAGCTGAGTATAGACTTTTTGAAAACCGCCATTGAAAGCACATGTTCTAAATACTAAATATGGCCGAAGTTGTTGAAAATAGATTGTTCCCGAGGTGGCAATTAATAGTCTGTCAATGTGGTTGAAAATCGAGTGTTCCCAAGGTGCATTTATTATAATCTCAGACCAGTCATATTAAAAGTGTGAAGGGGTAGAGATACGTTCCAAGTATTTGAGTATCAAAGCAACTGGATAACATAAATACTCTTTATGGCTTCAGCTACTACCTCAAGAATTCATTAATGAGGCATACCAAACCTTGGAAGCAGAGCATCCCGCACAAGGTGTGAAGTTCATATACGGAACACAACGCATTCATTTCTTATCAACTGTAAGTCAGATATCCTATTTGTCATATGCTTTCAAAACATTTAATTATGCAGACTGAATGAACAACGCACATTTCGTGAATGACATGTTATGCATTTTGAGTGTGAATTTAATATCATATAACCTACTTCGTATTCTAGCCTTTCAAGATGAGTGAGTGTTCATGTCATGTATGTTCAACTGGGGGATGCTATACGTGTGGGAAACGTTGTGTGGGAATCCTATTGGATGCATGCTCATGGTGTAACTCAAATCATAGTCACTTTTTCTGCATGAAGCAAGTAAACAAGAAAAGGAACAGTGTTGACTACTTATGCAAAGATTGTGCAGCATGGGTGGATGCATCTCCTATCATACCACGAAAGTCTGATAGGATTTTGAAGTTGAATTGCAAGTACTTTAATGATGATATGATCATAGGCATTTCTTTTAAATGGATGACTACATGCAGACTTGACTAAGAATATGTAACGAATCATGTGTGTCATGCATGAGAAATGCGTTTGTCGTGTTAACATGTCTTTCTAGCAGATGTGTTATGTTTGAATGTATGGGTTGATGAATGAATGATAAATCATTAATGATATGACTGCTTGCAAAAGCCGTAATACATAGTATGTATGATGCATGATATTTAAACAACAGCTGATATGTGAACAATAATTAATCAATGTCATCAATTCAGGTAATGTTTAAAGGTCCCTTTTACATATGAAGAGGCTGACTAAATCAACAATAATCAACCGTAAGAGAAGAAATGAAGACTTAGCTAACCAAGGTATTACAAAAACGATATCTTGAGTTTAAATTAATAAAACAATTTAGGTACAAACATTGGTTGGCACATCAGTAAATGGACATTGGGTCGTTAAACCGCCTGTCAAACCGCGCAGATCCGAAGGCCATATTATTGGCTGGCAGGGAATTTGAATAGGCAAGGCCCAAGGTCCAATTCTGGTGCAGTAGAGTTAAAACACACATAAAAATGCATGTTCATAAACAAATCCAATCCAAACTAATGATCCATGGTATCACAATTGAATTGATCTGGACAGTTCTCAACCAGAATCTGATGCATGTCATATATTTGTATATGTTCAAACAAAAAAATTGTGGCAGGTATACAGATCTAGGGTTATCACTACATGTACGCATCACACATGCACAGATCTTGACAAATCTTAACGCCACAAATGGTACATATATGATATTATAGCAAGGACGAACCATTTTTTATCTATACGATTATAATTCAACAAAAAAAGACTGAAATAACATTTCGAGACCTGTACGCATCACAAAAGCATGGATCTAGATAGATCTAAAAGCCACAGATGCTACATGTCTGAGTTTTTACACGTTTGATCGAAAAAATGTATAGATGAAGACATATACGCATCACAAATCGAAAATAAAAGACTGAAATAACATTTCGAGACATGTACGCATCACAAAGGCATGAATCTAGATAGATCTGAAAGCCACAGATGCTACATGTTTGATGTTTTACATGTTCGATCGAAAAGATTCATACATGAAGACATATACGCGTCACAGATCCATAGATCTAGACATATCTAAACGCAAAAATAGGCTACATGTCTCAAAAAATATATATTTTCTGACCGAAAATTTGTAGATCTAAGTAGATCTAAATGCAGAAAAATAATTAACGTTGAATCATAACACATGCCCGAACCACAGAATCAAAGATCTAGAAAGATCTATTCAAATTCCAGCATGTAATCTATGATTTTTAAAATTCAGCGCAAATCAAAAATATCCGCATAAAAAAAAAATAACAACAACTTCAAGTTCAGTACAAGACTAAATCATAAAAGATGGGAGGAGGGTTAGTTCAGCGACAGAGATGAAGGTGGTAGGAGGGTTTTGCCCCAACACAGCCACCCCTGTGCTATACCAGTCAGCCCCAACACTGGCG